CCTGGACTGCTTCAGATACTAATTCATTTGGTTCATATGCTTCTAATCCTAAATCATATAATTCATCTGGTAAAATTAAATTTTCAGGTAATAATTCCATGTCATTTTCTAGATTTAAATTACTTGTGATATTACTATGAATTAAATCTAATGATTGATTTAAACTTGAAAACATGTTATAATTATAAATGGTAAATTTTTTAATAAATAAGGTTTAAGTTTTATTTCAGATGTTTTATACTAGATATTTGGTTTTTTATAAAAATTTTTTTATAAGAAATTTTTAAAGAATTAATTAATGAAAATTTGGCCATTTCACCAAAATTTATTTTTAAATTTTTGCCCTACCAAAAATTCGGCCGTTTATAATAAATTTTTGGGGTTCAAAACAATCAATTTTCGTGTAACAAATTTTCAGGAGTCATTTTCTCAAAATAATTTAATATGACTTAAGCTACCTTTTGCTAGAAAACCCCCCATTTATAAATTAGGAAATACTAAATTTAGCATATTCCATAATTGCTCATGTAACATCATGTAGACTAATGCCATTTCACTTTTTCTCAAATATCTCAAAACATTTATAAGCAAAGTGGGTATAGTTACTAAGCTAAAAATGTTCTTTGTGATGAATTACATATAAAAATATTGTTGACTCAAAATCGACTTTTTGGTGACATGCCTCGTTTCTATATATCTTTAGAGGAACCATTACTAGCAAGAGGTTTAATAATATTCAATTATTATAATGCATATATACAGTGTTGAAATTTCGTTGTGTAACCAGTACAAATTTAGAAATTATCTCCAAAAATTAAAAGGTTGATTGGTGTGTAATGTTACACCCCTGCATTCCCCGCACCGAATTTTCAACACTGCATATATATAATTTAATTTCTAAATAAATTTTTTTTTAAAAAAAGGTGATTGATAACAAACAAAATTGTTTTATGTGTATTATGGATTAGATTGAATAGGAAATCTTACTGACAATGGTTTTTGAGAGTTAATTGTTATTTTCTTTTTTTATTCAATAGAATTGTTTTGGAAGTAGATCATTTATGTATTTTGATTAATTACAGA